GGAAACTAACCTGAGACATGTCTTGAAGTGGCATTGGAGAGAACAGTTAAAGTGAAAACATAGTTCCTAGAAGCAGTTTTTTTTTCAATTAATTCCTTGAAAATTGCAGATAGTGAGGCATGTCAATCTCTTTTGAGACATACAACTACATGACCTATACACGGACGGCCTTATCACTGCATTGGCAGAGTTCGCTTGTACTGCGTCATCATGCAGGCCACGATTGTGCACACAAACAGACTCAAATGTCACATGTGTACCTGCTGTCTGGCACCAGTCACCTGTGTGTCGGGTCTGTGGGACATACCTAATCACTACTTTGTCAAAGACGGTCGGTGCCAGACATGGGACAAAAGGATACAGAGGCGTACATTATCTCGGCCAAACATGTCCTGCCCACCTGTCTTGTGGAAATGTCGAATCTAACCGACATGTATGTTACCGAGTGGTGCTTTGTTCACAGATATTATTTAAAATGAACAGATCACCGAGCCGTTTTCGTGCAGAAAGCTCTCCAGGAACCATTGTGACGTTGTTCCAACAAAGGGAGATAACTCGTCCGCAAAAATCCCGATAATCATGAGATTTATACTGTAAACTGTATTCCAAAACTGGATGTTATCACAAAATGAAAAATGTTCTCCCTGAAAAACAATGACTTGAAAGAGAAACATATAATTTACTTTTCAAAGCCTTGAAAGTAGCATGGTTCAATCCTATGGTGAGTGAGTGAGTATGGTTTTACGCCGCTTTAAGCAATATTCCAGCAATATCAAGGCGACCACAAATGGGCTTCACACATTGTACCCATGTCGGGAATCGAACCCGGGTCTTCGGCGTGACGAGCGAACGCTTTAACCACTAAGCTACCCGACCGCCGCCCTATGGTGAGCGATTGCAGATGAACATGTGGACAGTCTACTCAGTAGCGGCTGAAACGATGATACGGCTGATGATGGAAACGATGTGTTTGATACAAATGTTACAAACCTAGAGCTAGTAATATCATTTTGCAAAAACATCTAAATCATACACGAAAGGGTAAGCTCATTTCCTCTGTAGCAACACAGTCTGTAAAAAACAGTCTCTCGCCACGTTGCGATTGTAATTACAAGTGAATTACACAACACAATTAACAATCATTGTGAAAAACATTGCATCGCATGTCGACAACTCTACCATAGCCAGACGGGGTCTCATGAAACGAGAGACTGGGCTTCGGCAACAATTGAAGTCCCTGGTGATTTATTCTCACGAAAGGAAGCGATCATTTAGGAATTATATTCACACATCGATGCTTATACGACTGGCGACCTTTGGATCCAATGACCTATTAACCCATTGTCCAGAAACCTGATATATGGGATAATAATGAAGCTTGTAGTTGGCCACAATGACCGCCTGGACACTGGTTCTTGTCGTCTGTCTCAAGAGGAAAATCGTTGGATCAACCATTCCACTGATAATATGATTTCAATCTCAGGTCTTACGAAGAAATCCCAGCATAGATATATGTAGTACTACTTGTCTTGTTGAAGGGCCGGTTCCTTTTCAGAGAGATACCACATTGGTATGATCGGGTTAGTGATAAAGACACAGGCTTAGTATATTCATAGTCAAGGTCAAAGTATTGATATGTCTAGGTGAGGCTTCGTAGCGTGTCAGTAATTGGAATGAACTGCGGGTTATCCTGCTGATATATCTCGGAGTATGATATACCCGCCCGTTTACGAACTTCTAAGGTATTACAGTAAACTACGGTTATAACGAACTCAAAGTTCTAAAAATAAGTTAGTTGTATCCGTCACTTCGTCATAAGCATGTTCGTTATAAACGTAGTAGCATTTCCCCGAGTTCAGCAATGTCGCATTTATTTTGCATGGTCATTTACAGTAAACTAAAGTTATAACGAACTCAAAGTGACCACTGATTTTAAGTCGTAGTTCGTTAAAGCATATGTACAGCATACATACAGCAAATAGACGGAACCAAGAAATAGTTCGTTATATCTGTAAGTTCGTTGTAAGCCTGTTCGTTATAAACGCAGTTTACTGTATATTACAGTCTTCGGTCAATCAGGGTTCACATCCAACATGAGTACCATACATGAAGCCTAAAACATATTGCTTAAAGCGGCTTAAAACGATATCGCTACAGCTAATACTTTCTGCTCGTTGACTTTCGTGATTATTGAAAAGGCATAATGGTTAAAGCGTTCGCTCTTTCAGCCAAAGTGCCAAGTTCAGATCTCCTTATAAATACATGAGGTGAGCGTAGTGGCTATTAACCGCTTTGGAAAGTAGTTTTGCTAGATATGGGAGCTTGTGACATTTGTTCGGCTCATCAAGCATTTATATTTGCGTTTATGCTTCCATAAACCGAAAACAATTAGGTCACGCCCACAACCAGACTACTATTTACTGTTTGGCTGATGATATAGTGGGCGGAACTGTTGCATTATTTCGCTGATCGATGCCACTGCTATCAGTGTATTGATGTCCACGTTTTTGTGTGTTAATGCTTGAATAAGCAGTCTGTGAAGTTATTATTTCTGACGTATTTACATAATTTACACACGGTTTTTATGTTTATACCTTCATAAAAGCAAAAAAATATTAAAGTCAATTCTTAAATATGTCTTATGGTAAATATATCAACTTTAATAGCTTAGACCGTGTTCGATTCTGAACACACCTACTTTAGCAGCACACCTACACACACACCTCAAACCACGTAATTTACAAATACAGTTCTTGAAGTGAGTGCCCAGGCAGGGATATATGCTTTCCCCGATGTCGTTAATCTATATCAACAAGAGGCCCGTGCGAGTAGGTACCCTGATGACTATTGCTCTCGTTTGGAGCGGAATACGCTTTGAGTTAGAGATCAGCGGTTCAAATTTCCAGGCGTGCTGTGTCGCCAACGTTAATGTTCAGTATGCATGTGATTCGTGGAACTCGTTCCGTGTTGCTTGGCCATGTTTCAGCATCACCCGATGTCATTATATTCTTGTATGTCCTGAAATGAGAATTTGTAAGGCTGAAGCGATTTGGGGAGATAGCGATTTGATAGCCAATGTTTTTTTCTTCAGGGTCCTGATCAATGGAAGTGAGTTAACTCTTGAATTTATCCCGTGTAGCACTACAATCAGGTTGTAAATAACTCTTTACACAATTTGCCTTCCCTAATACAATATATTGTTTTGTGTTGGAAACTTTAAAACTTTCTAAATTCTCACCCTTTAAACGTAACTGTTTTATTGCTGACGGGTTCTGTTTCATGTTGGGGCGTGTATGGCTTCAGAACAATCATGTATTTCCATCAATATCAATACAGAACTATCGAATGAATTTACATGTGAAATGAAATATAGATTGTAAGTCGCCTACCTTTCCATTCGTGGTTTAAGTGAAAGACATTTCTGAATGTCCGATGCAATTCCCAAGTTTGACTTGTACCACGTGTTCCAGTGTTTCAGAGCAACAATTGACTCGCCTTTGCATGTGTTTGTGACGGGTGTTTGCCTTTTCGCGAACACGTATTTGATGGTAATTCATGGGCATTGATGATATAGATATTGATGATGTAGTCTTAAACCGCACAATTGACTGCGTTTAGTAGAGATATCAGAAAGGGTTTGTCGCTTTTAGTTAAGGTTTTGTGTAAATATTTTGATTTCGCCGAATCACCATTACCATTGTCCAAGGTAGAACATAAAACAGTAACGCTTCAATATACCTGACACATTTATTAGTTAGATTAACATCCAATATGTGTAAACAGCCTCTTTCAAATCGATACACAACAGAGTGATCGTGTGTTGCCAACCTTGGCCTCGCAATGATTGTACAGTCTGGAGCAGACGTATCAAATGTATTTATGTAATTTCCATTTCGCCAGAAATGATTACTCTTTACTTATATAAACATCTGTCTCTTGGTATCTTAACACCATTTACCCGAATCCTGCGTGTATTGAATGGACTGCGTCTAGACGTATCGTGTGTGTGCCGACCGCTGATCGCACAGACTGAACAGTCATAAAACTTGTTTTAACAAATTACGTCAGAAAGTCATAAGGAATTCCTCATTACTTCCAGAGTTACGTCCCGTGATGCAATAGCTCCTTAAATAGCTTATCCTTACGTTAAGCCCATTGTTTTATTGTGGACGTTAGTCACAAGATGTGTTTAAAGTATGACCGGTGTTGGCTTCCATGGCGAAGTAATGACCGGATTTGTTTAGATTGTTTTGTTCGACCTTCGTGATTGGAGCTGATTTACCCACCCAGTGCCAATTTGGGCCCACTTAGATCTAATCAGCATTATATTTATCATATTCAACACACAAGAACAATACAATAAGGCAAGCTCGTTTTGTATATGACTGCATGTTGATAGCGTGCTAGAATCTCATCAACAACCAATCACGTGGAATGCTGTTTTGCCAGCATCCATTGAGAAAGAATTTACCTGTTTCAAGTGTGTTACCTGGAATAAGTGCGTGTGCACGCAAGTTTTGTGTCTTCAAAAACCCTGGCTGGTTGTTTATATCGACAGTAATATCGCAGTTTTTTTGCCAAAGGTCTTTACACTGACATTTGAAATAGCAGACAACTGTTAAGGATAGCGTGTGACATATGGTGTGTGTGTGTGTGTGTGTGTGTGTGTGTGTGTGTGTGTGTGTGTGTGTGTGTGTGTGTGTGTGTGTGTGTGTGTGTCAGTGTACAGTACACAACATATATTAACATCGACCAGACAACCTAGTGCACATTAGTCGTCATACTGTTTAGTGTGAGTGAGTGTGAGTGTGTGTGTGTGTGTGTGTGTCTGTGTCTGTGTGTGTGTGTGTGTCTGTGTCTGTGTCTGTGTCTGTGTCTCTGTGTGTATCTGATTGTCTGTGAGTGTATGTGTGCGTGGTATCACACATTTCTTAAACGACATCAATCCTTATTACCGTATAATTATGACAAATTTACACAACGATATTCGTTTCTTTCAGGTTGGACAAAGGACCTGCTCCCGTTGACAATCTCACATTCAGATATAACAGGTATGTGACTATGTAACTTTCAGGCATAGACGGTGCGGTCGGGTAGCCTCGTGGTTAAAGCGTTCGCTCGTCACGCCGAAGACCCGGGTTCGATTCCCGACATGGGTACAATGTGTGAAGCCCATTTCTGGTGTCCCCCGCCGTGATATTGCTGGAATATTGCTAAAAGCGGCGTAAAACGTCACTCACTCACTCATAAATATTCGTGTGTTTTTTTCAAACCACAAGAACACGTTGTTCTCTTGCACTCGTTCTAGGTGCTCACTCACTCACTCACTCACTCAGACATTGATAGAACGTTATGACTGTTGAACCTGTTGTATATGACGCAGTCCCGGAGTAAGGAACAGTTTATGTTGAAATAACATCCTGTTACCTGTGAAAAAAACGTCTCATTGTTGATACATCCTGTTTTAACTCTGGCGAAGACGGGACCCAACCGGGTCGGATTGTCCCCTTTTCATTACTTGTGGCGATATCATGTATCAAATAGGAACTGTTTGAACCTGCTCGTCATGGTTTAGAATTGCCGGTTTTGAGAGACGTGCCGTGTAACGTGTGAATGTCAGCGATTGTTGGCGGATCCAGCCCGTCTAACACCTCGTGCGACTGGAACCTTTATTGGCTGAGCTGTCGCTGGGTAGGTGTTGGTGGTGTTAGGGGTCGGGGTTGGGTGTGTGTGTGTAAGGGGCTGAGCTGCCGCTGGGTAGGTGTTTGTGGTGTTAGGGGTTGGGTGTGTATGTGTGTAAGGGGCTGAGCTGCCGCCGGGTAGGTGTTTGTGGTGTTAGGGGTCGGGGTTGGGTGTGGGTGTGTGTCACGGGCTGAGCTACCGCTGGGTAGGTGTTTGTGGTGTTAGGGGTCGGGGTTGGGTGTGTATGTGTGTAAGGGGCTGAGCTACCGCTGGGTAGGTGTTTGTGGTGTTAGGGGTCGGGGTTGGTAGTGTATGTGTGTAAGGGGTATGTAGGGTGGTTGTTGTTGAGGATGAGGTCGGTGATGGGGTACCCAACCTTTCGTACAATCATTTTTCACAACGGTGCGTTCATTTAGGTGATTGGTTCGTGGATAGTGTTTGTGTTAGCAATGCGTTTTGCTCCAGAGTACTAGTGAATAACCACACTGCTATGAAGATGACTGGATTGTCACACATGACCACAGCACTGAATGTTTTGTTTGTTTGTTTGTTATTTAACGCCGCACTCAGCAATATTCCAGCTATATGACGGCGGTCTGTAAATAATCGAATCTGGACCAGCAAATCCAGTGATTGACATCATGAGCATCAATCTACGCAATTGGGAAATGATGACATGCATCAACCACATCAGCGACCCTGACCACCCGATCACATTAGTCGCCTCTTACGACAAGCATAGTCGCCTCTTACGACAAGCATAGTCGCCTCTTACGACAAGCATAGTCGCCTTTTACGACAAGCATAATCGCCTTTTATGGCAAGCATGGGTTACTGCAGACCTGGTGTACCCGTATCTTCACGGGTCACAGTTCTGTATGGAATTGCTAGTGACCACAGCACTGTACGCAGTCACTACTGACCAAGCACTCCATGACCACAACAATATGGTGTCCTCATTTTCTGGTTCAAGTTGTACTCTGCAATTAGTCGTGATGTGGAAAGCCCTTGACTCCGTGAGATGGTGGTCAGTCTTGTCCAGCACTATCGAACCAGATTCAGGCCATTACAGAAAGCAGGCCCAGGGTAATTGAAGGAGGATCATCGGCTGCAATAACTGTCGTGGGGTTAATTAGTGTTGGTCCTTCCGCCATATCAGTAACACGGCCGTCACATGGTCATATTTACGACCCAGGGTTGTACAGTATTAGATAAGGGACCAGTATCGTTGACGCTGAGGTTCTACCATATGTTTGAACGGATCAAAATAGGGTAAATTCATACGGTCATACAAACACATTAATACTTCACTGAATAATTCAAATGGTGGCCTATCTGCAGACTCCAGGATGATTACTACTGGGTAACATTTTCTTCATTGAAAGATTTAAAGAATAGGTAATCAACGATAACTCCACCCTTTCCGTGTAGGGTAACGTTAGGTCCAGTAAAAGAGTCTGGGTAACAACTTTTCATTGAATGATTTAAAGAATAGGGAATCTACTGTATCTCCACCCTTTCCGTATAGGGTAACGTTAGGTCCAATAAAAGAGTCTGGGTAACAACTTTTCATTGAATGATTTTAAGAACAGGGAATCTACTGTAACTCCACCCTTTCCGCGTAGGGTAACGTTAGGTCCCCAAAATGAGTCGAACTTCTTTCTTTCCAAATTATTTCAAAATGTGGATTGTTTCATATTGATTATCGTTTTGGAGGATTATAAGGTCACGAATAAACTACAGGACAAAGGAGGTATACACCCTTGTTTGATGGTATCTAAAAATGAACAAACAAGAAATGGTTATTCTGATGTATTTGATATAGGTATGAATATATATATACAACTGACGTGGATGTATGTCGTGAGGTCTTATATGAGCGTACATTGCTTTATATGGCATTTTGGTGGCTCAGTCGTCTTAGGTGCCGCCATTCGCTTCGGCGAGTTGCGTCCCTTAGGCATGACAGAAACTTATGGTCGTCGGATCGAATCCAAGAAATATATTTCTAGGTTTGTCGGCACCATACCTGTACTCGCTGGTACACGTATGAGACCTTGGCTTCCCTGCCACGCGAAGGCGACTGTAGTGAGAAATACTGTTAAAAGTTCAAAGCAGTGTTAAACCAAAGTATCTCTTTCAGAGAGACTTTTTCATACGCCTCTTTCTCAAAAGTGTCAGATTTACATCAGATTTACTACAATCAAGGCCTTAAAAAGCTTTAACAATATCGTATGGTAGACATGGTGAGGATATTTCCAAATTTGACGCGTCGGTGACAAAAATTATGTCGATGCAATTCCCTATTTTGTACCATATGTTCCCGTTTTGTTCAGATTGACTTGCCTTTGAATGTGTTTGTGACGAGTGACACCGGTCACCTTTTTGCGAAAACCTGGTAGAATAACTCCTTGATAGTGATTCATGTCCCTAATTTTTCCAGTGGTTTGTCGTTCACGACATGTTCTTCATATTTCAAAATAATAGATCATGGTTAATAAATATGTTCGAAATAAATTCAGAGACGGTCTGAGTGATTGTTTCGTATTTAAGGGAATTGCTATTCATTTTTCCTTACATCTATTCATTGATCCAGCTGTGCTTTCAACTCTCCTATGTGTTTATCCAAACCGTGTCATCACCCACCCACCCACCCATCCATCCATCCATTATCTACATTCACTCATGCAATCACACATGCAATCAACCGGCCATTCCTTCATTCATTCATTTGTTTGTTTGTTTATTAATTCATTCAACATTAAAAGTTTTCGTTCAATATTTCATACATTCATTCATTATTATTTTTTATTGGTTTTACGTTCGTTATTCACCTGTTACCCGAATCTGCACCAGCGTGTATATTATTATTTATTAAGGAGTTCCATGCTAGTTTTCCGACCAACTGGCACACATACTTTACTCTAGTTATATCAGGTATAACGTCCTCTGCATCCGGCTTTATGACAGGCACGTATATGGAGATATAATGGTTTCTTGCAAGCATATTTATTACACCTTTATGAAGATTCTGAGTGCTCATTAAAAGTTAAAAAAGCAAGGATTTATGGCGTATATATAACCCATTTATTCACAGAATGTGTACATATTTAGCCTAGCCTGTGATAAGAAAATCACTAAAAAATCTTATATGTTTTCATAGAGTGCTTCCGCGGAAGTTGTCAAAAAATGTTCAAGCATGGTGTGTATGATAAGTAGATATATGGGTCTCACAGTGATAACAGAATATATTCATCTCACCGGAAAATACATGTGTTTGCTCACGTGGAGTGATATGATAAAATATGAAACATCATTTATGAAAAGAAAGATAAACACCCGAGGCATATATCAACACAATTATACACGACAGCAATGTTTGTTCAAGTACTCTGTATGTTGTTGATATCCTGATGGAAAACATCTTCCGAATAATCTCATTGCCAGGTTTCAAATAATTCCAAAGATTCATATAAACAGAATAGTATGGAATAAACTCACTACATAACTTCTCAATCTATGGTTATGTACTCTGTACATAGGGAATTCCTTGCCAGCCACATGCACATGCACATGCATATTCAGTATATGTATGGGTAGATTTAGGACCGTGTAAATGGATGTTATTAATTATATACGAGCAGATGTTACGTCATTAAATAAATGACACTCAGTAAATAGATATTGAAGATCAGTCAGTCTTGTGAAATGCATCAGAAGTGCGAGGCCACGGATATCGCCAAACGTATTTTGATATACCATGCTTTGTTTCTATGGCATTTAAACCATTGAATGTAACATAGACAAATGCCAAGGCCAGCATATCGAAGCGTCTGAATCATCCTAAAAACATGTCTGGGCATATTTCCACGCCAACAGCAGTTGAATACGTATGTGGAACATGTAGCCATACTATTTAATAATAGCCCATTGTACGGCAATTCAATGAAGAACCAGCGCATTACTCAACCCACAGATATGTTCCCTATGTTTTGTTCATATAGCTGATGGGACTTAAGTGGTGTGAACCGAGAAGCAATATATAATTTGCACCTGGATCGAGGTTGGCTTTGACCTGTGATGCGTGCCCTTGACGATGAGACTACACCTGTTACTCTAATCACTGGGTTGTTTCTTTGAAAGACAGAAACAAGTCTGTTCGATGAGTTTGGCAAACTTCGGTTATAACGAACTCAAAGGGACTACTTATTTTAGTTCGTTATAACCGTAGATCGTTATAAGCATGTATAAAAGCAAATTTGCAGCAAATGGCCGGGACCAAAAAATAAGTTCGTTCTATACGTCAGTTCGTTATAAGCGTGTTCGTTATAAACGTAGTTGTATATCTACGCGCCGCTACGACAAAGGT